TATCACGTTCATTCATGTTGCTAATTTCATCGCTGTCCTTTGCTGTGCTGACGTTCCCACACGAGAAGAGCGAGGACTTGGATGAATGGTTAATACTCAGTCAACTTATGAGCAAAGCCAGTTTACCTTCGTAGACAACAGCTCTACTGGAGTTGCCTGTACTGGTCAGCGGATGAGGTCATTCATTACAATATGCAATCATTTATTCATTACAATGCGTAAAAGCCAGCGCTACTGTATCCTGTTCAACCGCTGCAATCAATCGTTAAATCTCGTCGCGTTATAACAACGCTAATCTAACCGAAAGTAAGTGGAAACAGGGTTAACAGATTACCACAGAAGGGGGGATGAGATTCATTTGTCATCTGAAATGTTGCTGAAAGCGCTGGATGAAAATATGATCTTCCTGCCTAACTGGCAGATAACTTCGCTGGAGATCACGAAACTAAAGTGCTAAAACGTGGTTGCCCTTTTCCACCGTTGCATTTTTAAGTTACAGTTATGGTTCATTTACGCCAAATAACGTTCGACTTTTCAGATTTTGTCAATCCAATCTCATTGCGATCATCTCAATATGGCATTCAGAATCAACACAAAAGGTTCATAGCTGAGTGTGACGAGTCCGTCATGAAAAAATTGAGAAGTTTAGGCATCTCAGGGTTTACAGTAACGGAAAACCGGAAAAAGGGATCGACTGGCGGATCAGGATGGTAAACGAAATCTTACGCAACGGAAAAGACAGAACTAAGACTTCAATTAAAGCCCGGTGTCATAAAAGTTCTCATTTACAGTCATGAGTCGAAGTAACGTGATCGCGAGGACAGACTTTATGAGAAGAATCGCCACGATTTCGCTCTTCGACAGAGTTCTACATGCGGCAATTAGAAAGAACATTCGAAATGTGCAACTGCTTCTAGTGACTGGGAGGTTCCAGCCAAGATGATCTGACATGCTTTACGGAGGTTATAAGAATATATGTCAATCAGCTACTCAGATCAACAGAAGACCGAGAAAGGCCCAGAATCATATGACGCAAATGTGCCACGGCGGAGTTAAAGAAGGCAAACAATGGTGGAAAACGGTGAACGCTGGCGACACTGTGTGATACAGCTGTCCCATCGACCTAAACAAATAAACGGCTCCTGAAGTAAAGGACTCATTTTTCATCGATAAGGCAATTCATTAGTAGTTAGAACAAATTTTTAGTCTCACCATAAGCAAGTTGTACTACAAACGAGTTGTTCCACACATCAAGCAATACTATATCTCATCGATACGCTGCCGATGCAAAATAAATTACCATTCAATCCTGCATAAAGTGTTACCTAAGTATCTAACAATAGGTGATGCACTGATGCGAAGAACGACGAATTGGTTATTCTCGCTAATAGTGGTGAGGCACTATCTCGATCAGTTGGTAAAACCAGCTATTTGATGGTAAAGTAATACTTGATTAAGCATGTTACTTATGTGAGCATCTTTTTGCCGTCTATCAGTGTACTCTTGAACAATTTCATTACTTACCGCAAAATTAATACATGATATGGAACATTAGCGGTGGCGTTACTTCAGAAAACCACGAATGTTAACTCAGTATGCAAAAAATTACCATAACTGATGACAGTTACACGTCAGATAGCCATATCGTTACTTATGTGGATGCTAGGACAGACTCGTTCTCAATAATTTACTGCACATTTCCCCTCATCTTATTGCATTCTCTTCGACCTATCATGACATCCTTCTAGACTACTAGATTAACTCGGAAACTAGGCAAATTTTGATGTCGGACAACACGGCTGCGCTGGATATAATGAGGAAGTTCCACGGAATGGCGCACATGCGTTGGCTGAGATCGAATCACGCTTCTAAGCGGCACAAGAATGTTTCACTCGAAGTCCCACAGACCGACGAGCTGCAAATCAAAGGAGCAGAGTGGGAAGATATTTTCATGCTGAACTACCCGTTTTTTGCCGCTTTCATGTAAAGCAGAATAACCTTTTACCTTTCTGCCTTTGGAGATATCACAAAGTGGAAAACAAGGCAAAATATTTTACATATAAAGACGTTTCGGATATCTTAGCTTGTTCAATTCCATTATTTTTATTAAGATTCGTCTTATTACTAATAATCTAAAGACCTTATTGCAAAAAATTGCATTGCGCCCATGCACTGTAGGTAATAAAATACTATGGAATCGTAACCTGATTAAATGGTCTTCTGACCACTAGTAGCAAGGGGACGGTGCGATTACTCCATTTAAGTTGTAGAGAAACTGCAGAAAAAAAAGATGTCTTCCACATTACGAGACGTTACACCCTATCAGTAATGTTTTATTACTGGAGTAGTTAAATGCTTATCTGTCGTCTTGAAAACCCTTCAGGAGATATCAAACTTGAACTTAAACAATATTAGAATGCCGTTTTGGACAAAATTAAAGCTGACAGCAAAACGGTCGGAAACACGTGAAGAAAGCCTGCTTACGACCGGGTAAGGCGTAGTTGGATCGAACTCCGTAGAATTCGCATTTTCCAAATGCAAGACGGAGCGCGCAAAGTCGATTACCGCACACTGCATGCCAAGGCAAACTCCTACAAATGCATAAGCGTAAACACATACATTAACAAAAGACGCCATTGCCAAAATATAACCTAAAAATGGCTTTGCATTTAGGCGAGCCCATTCGCACGCCAACAGTATTCCATCGATGCCTCGTTCACCGAAACCACCAGGCACCAAAACAGCGCTAAAAACGACGTACACATCGTGTCAGGGCGAGACGTAAGCAGCGGACAGAGTAGATGTGACAAGAAAGTTTACACCTTACTCGCAACTCTTCAACATATTCCACATGTTATCGACGTGTTCGTTATCCGCGGCCTCTGCAGGTGGCTTCAAAAGTTCAGAGTTGATACTCTGCAAAAGCGAATACTATTAAATTCATACGACAATAAAAAAATACGGGAGATACATATCTGATTCTGTCCAATATTCAAGCTGACAAAGAAGCATACCTTTACACAAAACCAGTATGCACTTTACCCCAGTTAACTGCTAAGCTTCGAAGACAGCACAGGATGGAATATAAAATGAGGGTTAAATAAGGAGGCAATGGTGCAGTAGGTTGACGACGCTATTCTGTACGTTAGACGGTTTACTCGAGCACAATGCGTGGAGTAGAGTTTTCTTAATACCAATTCGTTTGAGGAAGCAATTCATATACTAACCTTCAGTGCAACCAGTCGTGAAACGGGCAGAAAGTGACTGATATGAAATATTATGGACAACATGAATATCTGGTGTGGTCATGTCAGAAGATACGCGACATTCGACCATACTGTCTGATGCATGCGCAATACGGCGGCAATTCGTCTTGACTCATGTGACAGCTGACTAAAAATTAGCGCAAGGAGTAACCCGCAAAATAAATGGCAGGACCATGTATGGAACGATTCTATCCATTGCAGGGCTGTTGGATCTGTTTGATCGGCCTACTGAATACAAACTACTTCATTCCAGTGTGTGGAATCTTCACGCCGGAATCAAAACCTGGCATATATCCACCAGGTAGGCAGCATAAAACGTAAGAATGAGATGATAGCAGATCTTTCTTAAGAGGAATTACTGTCTGCCTGTAGATAATGTCGAAAAGCTGAAAATGTAGCAGAAATAGCAATA